TTTTTACAGATGTTACTGATTTTGATAATGAACAAAAATTTACCTCTGCATCCTAACTCAGGCTACTATCAAATGTGCATTTCTAAGAGACAAAAAGTTATATTATTATTATTATTATTAATAATATTATCAGGCAACCCAAACCTGTTTCTTGGTTTGAAACAATATCACGCATTAGAACATGCAGAAATTAAGAAATGATTTTTTCTATTTAGATTATTTATTTTGTCAAGGAAAATTAATGGTCTGGTTTCTACAACTTTCACTTTGGAGCAAAAATCTGGCTTTAAACTTGAAAGAAATAAAGATTTGACATTTATTGTGATAATTGTCGATATCGACTGATATGAAAAAAATTATCATGATAATTTTTTTGGCCATATTGCCCAGCCCTAGATTTTAGTATAATTTTAACAGAATGTGCATTACAATATAAAAATGTTGTGTAGGTCAACTGCATCACATGTTCTTTATGTAGGCTACAAAAAAAAACAAAAAAAAAACTGTTACTAAATTAATGCTGGAATACACTCCAAATCTGAACAGGTATTAAAACACTAGGCCTCATACACTTGCCGACTTTGTAAATGGTTACAAAGAAAAACTGGGTATCATACACTAAATCAACGGTTCTCAAAAACGTTGCATTCGAATTTAAGGTCTGCGTCAGCCGTCAGGCAGCCTTATCAGTGGCACATGAAATGCGACGACAATGTAAGTGTCATTGCATTTTAATGCTTCTGTTAGCCTATCCAGCTGAACCCACTAGATGCGGCGCTGCTACGCTGTTCATTCAGCATCAGTGTGGAGAAGATGTTGTTTACGTCAAAACTGAAACCAAGCCGTTCACACAGAACGCATATTTATCACATTTTCTAGAGGGACATCTATCAGCGTTGCACTCGCGTCTCACAGAGAGCAGCATGTTTAGAAAGCCATGTAAAATTAATGTAAGTTCAACTTTTAAAAAACATGTCTCAAGACTTTATGGCGGTTTTTCCCCGTCCCACTGTATCATGTTTTTATATGAAGAAAGTAGCCTACTTTTGTGATTTGGTTTTCGGTCCTTTGTATTAAACTATTATACATGCAGTGGTGCTGTTTTTTTTTCTAATTGTTTAAGCAACTATATTAATTATATATGGTTTATAAACATTATGCACTTTTTTTCAAAGATAGTCGTGTTATTTTATTACACTTTGAAGAAACGTGCATAATATTTTGCTCGATGCGCCCTCTTGTGGCCTCAGGAGAGAAGCCAAAAGTTTTTTTCCCCCTAACTGAAATTATGCCTTTTAAATTTTAATATAATTTGAATTTTGATAATATTTAAGTAGAAAATGCAAATTTAGTTTTTCAGTCATTTTGACAGCCCTAGTCCCTTATTGTCCAAATGCCCCTTTTATATTAAAGGGTTAGTTCACCCAAAAATGAAAATTCTGTCATTAATTACTCACCCTCATTTCTTCGGAAAACAAATTAAGATATTTTTGATGCATCCCCTGAGCTCTCTGTCCCTCCCATAGACAGCAATGATCCTTACACGATCAAGGTCCAGAAACATAGCAAGGAGATCGGTAAGTGGCGCGGTATTGATATATATATATATATATATATATATATTAGTGGTGTCAAAATTAGTGCGTTAACGCAGGCGATTATTTTTTCAGTTCAATGCGTTAAAAATATTTAATGCAATTAACACAGGGGCGGGGCTAGGGTTGGCCACCCCACTCACAACTGCTGCTTCTGTCACTTTTTCTCTTGACAAGAAGTGCATTTATTCAGTCGCAGAACGACTGAGAACGGGAGACATTTCAGACACGCGCTCCTCTTCAGCGCCAGGCATG